GCTTTGTGCTCTGGAGATGGATATAACTGTTTCATTTCTCAAGGGAGAAGATGCACTAGCCCTCGAGGTCCCAACCTCCAAACTAGCAAGGTCATGCACTTTCTTGCAAATTTGATAAAAGTGACCATACAATATTGAAATAAATCTTGAATCCTCCATTGGCAAAATATGATTCTAAGCGAATGGAAAAGCATTAGCAGTCAATTTCATATTTCCTAGTTACAATGATTCACAGAGACATCAACGTCAATGCCTATTGCATCAGTAGAATTATTGTGGTCATGTATACTACTCATGAACACCTCATACAAAAATTCTTTAGGACAATCTCATTGTGTACTGTAACAACGATGAAGACCAATTAAATGGTTAAAAACCATTCATAGTGACCAACTCACCTGTTCAAATTTCACCAGACAAATCTGTGGTATAGAAAGTAATTTTCTTCGGAGATTTACATGTATAATTTTGGGAGATTGGTGCCGGCACTAAAATGTGGCATATAACAAGTTCTTTTTAATGTGGATGGGCTATACTTGAAATCAATAGAAGATATGCACACAAGCACCTGCAACCAGAACACAAAAAATCAACTCCAAATTAACCGAGTGAAAATGAAATATGACAAATACTTGCCTAAGGAATCTGTGGCTCCTCATTTTCCTGAGATCTGCTTCCTGCCTCCAAAACTCCTCCTCCCCCATCATCCACCCTCCTCTCCTCATCCCTCTTCCTCCTCTCCTCCTCCTCCCTCCTCCTCCGCTCCACCTCCTCTGGGTCCACATATTTAAAACCTCGCACGAAGTCAAACAAATTCTGAATTGAGCGGTAATTTTGAAGTTCTTGTACATCTACGCTGTACATCCAATCACAAAATTTTGAGACGACAACATCTCCCAGATGCATCTCCCTCATCATAACCATTATCAAAATATGAAACCGCTCTACCAACCTAGAACCCGGTCTCAAAAAACTACAATAGTCAAAGAAATCAACAACAGCACTACGAATTGACTTGTTCTCCTCTTTCCATGTTTCTCTTTCCATTACCATTATTATTGGAATCTTCTTTTTCAAACGATATGAAAAATCTATGAAATTGAGTTCCTCTAGATGATCGATCATAATGGAGTGAAGGACACATACGCTGTAACAAAATATTAAATTCAATTATTTTGTACAGCACAACACACATTTCTATATATATTTACATATTTAAACCTGCCAAGTACCTTATCATATAACGTTCATCCCACACTTGATCCTCCGTTTCTGTTAAATTCTCCATGGAGCTGCAACAAACAATTGAAAAATAAGAAGTCTTGTTGATATACAAGGGAAGAGGATATGAAATAAAAACAATAACTATAATGTAATTTTCCAAATTGTGCTGCATGTTTTTTACACATTCACCACCACTTGCATCTTGTGCTAGTATTTTTTTCACCTTGATAATTTCCAATTGCTTAATTCTCTTTTCCATCCCTTATTTTATTCTCCTTTCTTAACATTGAATGCATCTGAAGGGTATCATACTATTCATGTCAGACATATCTTAACACCTTCTTCTTTGAACTCTGTTTTCATACATAGGGATGTCAAATCAAGCAACATACTCTTGGATCATAGTATGTCTGCAAAGGTTGTAGAATTCGGATTTTCTAAATTTGCACCTCAAGGGGACAATGGCACTTCATTAGAAGGGGCACTGCTGGATACTTGGATCCAGAGTAAGTAGGCGCCTCTTTACACTAAATCTTGATCCTTCCATAGAACAAGAAAAAGAAGGTTGGACTATGGTTCGAATAGTTAAGTAGAACTGGGTAGAGATGGAACTTCAGCTATGAAATTGAACTCTGAAATGATACCATCCAAATTTAATTGATGCATCATGATTTTCATTTCCACTAAATAGGCGCCTCCTTACACTAATTAGATACTTTCTAAATGTGCTGGATACTTGGATCCAGAGTAAGTAGGTGCCTCCTTGTACTAAATCCTAATCCTTCCGTAGAACAAGAAAAAGAAGGCTGGAGTATGGTTCGAATAGTATTTAAGTAGAACTAGGTAGAGATGAAACTTTAGCTATGAAATTGAAATCTGAAATGATACCATCCAAATTTAATTGATGCTTCATGATTTTCATTTCCACATACGTTTCCAACTATGACTTTTTAAGTTCTAATTATCAATGACATGAAACTTGCTGTAAACATGTCATCTGAGGAATGAATTATTTATCATACATAAATACCTCAGTGAGAATACAGAGTGTGTGTGCATTCATATTATGTGGATTTTTGCAAAAGAAACGTATAAAACCATTTATGAACCTCTCCTAGAGCCCAAAGTGGCTTAAAGAACACAAATAGGAAAAGAGGCACTTTTTCAAATCACAAGCGAGTATAAACCTAAAATTGCACCACTCAATGACACAATTTTCAAATAAACAAGCACATGAAGAATAAGACACGTCAAAAACAATTTAAACGACTAACAAGAACTCTTCAGCCCCCAACCAAGATATCTAATAAAAGCAACATTAGCGATTTAGAAAAACTTATTATAACATATCCAATAGTATCCATTGGCCAAAATATTAATATGTACATTTGTTCACATAAACACTGTGAAGTCTTAGCATTAAGATAAATGTGATTTTTCAAAGCAATATCGTGACAAGAAGATTCAAGCAAATAAATCTGAGCATCAAATTAAACAAATCTACACGAACACAAAGGCATTTTTTCAACTCACAAGTGAGTATAAACCTAAAATTGCACCACCCAAACTCAAGAAAAAGAAAACCTCCATTCAATTCAACAAATGAGAAATCAATTCAAGAAAATCTTTTCAGAAAAACGCAATCAAGAAACAAAGAAAATATTTCGCGTGAAATTTAAAGAATTCACAAAAATGCATCCAGAATTTATATATACACTGCAAAAATGTACTTTCAACCAAAAAAAAATTAAAACTCAGACGAACAAAATTACCTCTGGAGTGACAGAAAGAGCGAGCATGTAATGGTTGGATAATTTTCAACCAAAACCAGCTAAAATACAATTCAAATCAACACGATAATGGATCAACGCAGCTAGGATTTAATAACCCAAGCCATAATTCCTTTACTTCAATAAAATTTGAAGTAAACACGAACCAAGATTGAAGTAAACACGAACCAAGATTGAAGAAGAGGGAGAGAACTCAAAGAATCAGAGGAGGAGAAGGAGGTGATTAGGGGCGGAGCCAGGAATTCATTGTATGGGGGGCTAAAATTTTTAAAATGTAATGTACGAA